AAATCAGAGCTATGTGGAATGTTTCATGTTTATGTATAACTTTCATAGTAGACCCTCCTACACAAGGAAAATAATATGCCCAAATTCTGTTATTTTTACAGTATGTAATATATCACGTCCTAATCCCACCCATCAGTTTCATATTCTCTAAATAGATAAGAAATGAAAAAGGAAGCAAGAAGAAATAAAGGCACTTTGAAAAAGTGACTTTTTAATTCCTCTTTTGGGAGGAAAAGATATCTGAAAACTTTAATTGTGATGCATGTTCTAATAACAACAGAGGAATTTAAAAGAAAATACGCATTATATATTCTGAATACTAGATTCTTCCACTTTGCTTTGCACAATTAGAAAGCTAAGTACCTGGGGAGGGGCAGAGCAGAAGTGGAAAAAGAGAGTGGTGGGTGGTGACAAAGAAGGAAAAACACAGATTTTCAGCAATATTGGGTTCAAAAGAATCCAAATCAGAAGACATTTATATTTCAAGTTTTTTCAATGGTAGCTACAAATCATTCCTATTTAGAAGACATGATAATTCAATAGGAAGATAGCGTCATTGAAAAAAAAGATTGCACTCACACACACAAAAAAGATGAGGCCTGACTTTTTTTTTTCTTCCCCAAAGGAAGGATTACCAGCAATTCAAGTGTTTATTAGGAAAGCTCAGTTGTTTAAGATACAGAATACTGTGATTTTAAAAAGTCACTTGATACATAACCATGTCTAAAGAAACACTTAAGTGATATTTCTAATAAATATGTCAGGAAATTTTGAATTGTCAAGGCCTCTTTTTTGCTAAAATATTGGAAGTGAATTCAGAGGTAGAAACTCAAGAAATTTTCAAATGGGAATTGACATATGACATTGAAACCAACATTTTGTAATCTATAAAAACTAGCAAAATAAATGAGGCTGTGAACACTTTAATATGTGGTAGACATATACACATGTCCATTTATGCTTAGAGGGAGGACCTATATACTATTTAAAAATGTATGGAAACAAAAAAGAAAAGACATACATAAAAATAATACTTAAAGCTTCCTCACAAGAAATGTTTTTGTAATTAAGAGAGAATATAATTTATCAAAATTAAGTTGCATTAAGTTACTGCTAATATTATTATCACTATTCAAGTTTTCAAATTCAAAAATTAATTAACAATCTGGCAAAAGTGGAAAGGACCTAAGATCAAACAATGATGACCCTTCATTGCCAGCATTCTGAAACTTATCTAGAAGCAATTTGCAGAACAAGATGTCAGTTTTTGATGTGAGTTACACTTAAAAGTCCTGAGATTCTTGAGAAAGAATAGGACTGTCCAAAATGAAGTACTCTCTTTGCAATACTAGTGGCAGAGATACTTTATACTATAAATAAACAAGTATATTTTGAACACCTATTAAACATTACTGATATAGGAGCATACTAAATATGAAATGTTTTCTGGCTAAAAAATGAGTGTTTCATAAGAACATCTAATGTCTTAAGCTGGAATATTTCCCAAGGGTGTGTCCCATAATAATTTGTGAAATTATCAGATCATAATAATAAGCTATGGGTAAATGTTTATATAAGTGTTATAAAATTTTCTGTTATTTATGCTAAGATGTAGGAAAGCCTTGCCTCCCTTCAAACTTACCTCATGAGATTTTTGTTGACTCCCAGTTTCCTTTATAATTGTTATTTCAATTAAGTATATCACGTAAAGACAGCTTGAAATAGCCGAACTTTTCCTGAAATCCATGCAAAGCAATTAACATTTTGGATCCAGAATTTCCTAAATCATAAATCTCAGTCAGCATAATCTGATTTGGAATTATCACATATTTCTTGGCCTAATGCTTTAACAAAGAAGAGCATTAAAGCAGAAGACAGGTGATGATGAAAGCTCTCTTTTTGTCAACATCCTCATAACTCAGTTGGACATGATAGATTGGCCACCTTATTGATTTAGGAATGATCAGCAATATCATTATCCCTAAAGGGATATTAAGATGATAGATAACAGATTTGAAATTTGATTTCCATCTTCCTATATCAATGTGTACAAATTTATAAGTTTGACTTTCTTTAAATTTCTACCTTAGAAACATCCTTTTATGCACACAGAAGGTCTCAACTTTTTAGTTCCCCAGGAATTTAGTGACCGCCCATATGTATAAGTGTGTGTGTGTGTGTGTGTGTGTGTGTGTGTAATAATATACACTTACATTGCTGGAGAAGCAATAAATTGTAATAGTTGAGCTTAGACCTGGGTTAACTATCACCTATGCCTTTGATTAGCTATAAATTTTCAATGTTACTTAAGCTGTGTCTATTTCTACACTTTTAAAAAGGGGTAAATATTGCCCTCTTGGAGCTTTGGTGAGAAATTAAATATGCCAATAAAATGCAAAAAGAAATAGTACAGTGCCTGGCAAACAATAAGTACTCAATAAATATTAGCAGATAATATTATCTTTGTATAATTTCTCAAAACAAGAAATGTCCTTTCATCCTGTAACTCATCTATCCTTATAAGTTGACTATAAGACATGTATATAAAATTTTCAGTGGATATTAAAATATCCACTGAATATACTGAATATACTAAGAAAATATTAGTATAATGAGTAGTAATTAAGAATAGTAAGTTCTAAATGCATAGCAATATAAAATTAATTCTTATTTTTAAGAGGTTTAAATACCGTATATATACATATACATATATACACACACATATACACATTTTTTTTTCCCATTCTGAGAAGAAGCTGAAACATCAGTGGATAACAGGTGTAAAGTTTGGTCTCTAGAATCACTCCCATTAACAAACTATTCTGCTCCCAGTGTCCTTATGCATAAGACCTTTCATTTTGATACTGAGAATCAACTATGGTTATCTTATGTGGGCATAATGCTAGCAGCTGTAAAATTCTCTAAAATATATGATGGCTCCAAGAAATAGAAGTTTATTTTTCACTTATATGACAGCTAGAAGGAAGTCTTCTATAAAAACTCTCTCTGCAAACTTTTTCTAAAATTATTCCAAAATAAAAATTTACTAAAGCAAACAAAGTGAGTGTTCCTTGCCTATATTTGTCTTCCTCCACATGGCAATTCGGGGCCCAAACTCCTCTTATCTTGCATCTTCATCCTTCCATAGGTCCTTGATCAGTGTTTACTCCCAGCCAGTATAGAAGGAAAGAGAACACGAAGAGAAACCCTCCCTGGTTAACAGCCATAGCTGTTAGCAATCCATCCATCCACCTCCCCGAAGGAGACATCCAACCGTCCCATCCAGTTACTGTATCAAGCTCAGATTCCAGAATCTCTGGTAATAAACAGCTCTCTCCATAAAGCCCAAGTCTCTCTGGGGGGGCTTAAATGATTTAGAACTAGAAATATAAACTTACCCTCACACTTTCCCCACCACATCCGCTAGGCAACGATGGAGCAAGAACATGGCAACTGGAATAAACAAACAAACAAACAAAACCCACTCTCATTTGTGAAAGGGAAGAATGGTAAATAGCCAACAGTCACTGGACCAAAACGGTGATTAAATCCGGCTGGGCAGACCCTGTGAGACAACTGCCCTGGAAGTAGAGCCTGTCCCTGGCTCTGCTCTCTGGGAGAGTTCCCCATGTCCACTGCTCTCCAGGGTTGCTGGCTCTGCCTTCTGGAGGCTCTTCCTTCTCCACTATCCTCCGTGGGCCACATCTGGAGGGAACACTGGGGAGGACAATCTTGGACTTGCACTTCCTTCATAACCCAGTTTTGGAGGAATAAATATGGGTTCCAGGATTGTATGAAGTCATGAATTTTTTAGGCCAGGCTTCTGGTTTCTTTGGTAACATCCTTCCCTCAAAATCTTCATAGACATTGATTTAATTCCTTTAGTCAGTTATTATACATGTGCCAGCAACCAGAGCCAAAGACAGCAAAGTCCTTTTCTAGATTATTTTCTCGATTTTTCTAATGTAGTACTCAGGACTGCTTTATTATTTTTTTCTAATTTTTCACTCTCATCTCCTCTCTCTTCTCTTTCTCCTCTCACCCTTCCCCCTTCTTTCTCCTTCCCTTTCTCTCTCCATGAAAAATGAGAAATAGTATTAATGAGAGCTTCTGATTATGTTTTAAAAAAGTACAAGATTTAATTATAAAATTCCTTCTCATTCTCTTTTTGTTTTATTATAGTATATCTCTATGATGCTCCTTTAGGAGAAAAAACTTTATATTTGCTCCTAAAGCACAAAAAAATCACAAAGTATTTCAATATGAAATTTTTTGTCCCAGTTACTTTTACTGGATTGAAAATCACCCTGAGACATAGAGGTGTAAAACAATGATTTTATTATGTTTAGAGTTTGGTCAAAATTCAGACAAAATGCAGCAGGAGTAGCATGTCTCTGTTCCACAGTGTTCTAGGCCTCAGATGGGAAACTTGAAGACTGGGGGGCTCTCGATGACTGGGAGACCCTCAGGCTTGCTTCATGCTCACGTGATTAGTGGCTGGTGCTGGCTATCTGCCAGAAAACAATGTGACACCTCCTCATGTGGACACTCCGCCTGGGGTGATCTGGACTTCCTCAAACATGGAGACTATTTTCCAAGAATGAGTGTTCCAAGAGAACAAGGGGGAATGCATGTTATTTTTGTACTCTAATCTTTGAAGTCATAGAGTGGAATTTCTGTTGTACGTTTTGGTTGAAGCAGGGTTAAAGGTAGACCTAGGTTCAAAATGAAAGAACATAGAAGCCACCATTTGATGGGAAGGTTGTCAAGGTTACATGGTAATTAGAGCATGTGAATTTGAGAAGATTGTTGCAGCTAGCCGTCTTTGAGTACATATTTTATTTAAATTAGTCAGTGCCCGAAACATTTACTTCTCATTTTATGTCTACTTTATTCACCTTGAATGAATCTGAATATGGTTATTTTCATGTGCACTCCTACTCAAGCATGCTCTATTAAGAAAAATAATAAAATAGTATCAAATGTTAATATATTTACAGATATCTCGGCACAGAAGGAATCATTCGCAGCATGTCTTAAAAGATGTCATTCCTCCATTGGAACAATTGGTGAGTTATTATTTCATTGCTCTTGATCTACTGATACAAAATAAATTATCCCAAAACTTAGCAACTTAAAACAGCACACATTATGATCTCATGTTTCTGTGGGTCAGGAATCCAACCCATGGCTCTATAGGGTCCATGGCTCTGAAAGCTCAGAGTCTTTCAAAAGGTTACAATCAAGTGGTCAGCCAGAACTGGGATCACCTCTGAAGGTTTGACTGAGGAGTGTCTGCTTTCAAGCCCACTTAGCAGGTTGTTGGCAGGGTTCAGTTCTTCCAGGCTTGTTGGCCATAGGCTGCTCTTAATTCCTTGCCATGTGGGATTCCAACATGGCAGTTTACTTCTTTAGAGCATTTATGCTGAGAAGATGAGAGAGAGAGTCTGTTAGCAAGATGGAAGTTGCACTGTCTTGTAACATAATTATGAAATTAACATCCCATAAACTTTGCCACATTCTTTTGGTCAGAAGCAAGTCTTACTAAATTCAGTCCACACTCAAGGGAAGGGGAATTACATAAGAATGTGAATAACAGGAAACAGAGATTATTGGGGGCAATACAGCTTTTTGTTGTTTAAGGGGAAAAAATTAATCCTTTGCCAGTAGACTCTTTAAGTCTGCAAGAACAGGGCATTTAAAAAAAAAAATTTGTGTATTGTTATATCCTAATGACTAGAAGAATGCCTGAAACATTGCAAATAGCATGAATGAATAAAGTATTAGAGGTATCTTTAAAAACATATAAGCCCAAACTTTCTGACATGTTCTAATACTTCTTTCATTTAATGACCTTGTTTTTGACAAATACAATATCCATACTCATTTAGCGTGTCCTTCCTGCTATATTTCACATTGGCCAATATGGCTTCAGTCCTTTGGCTTACAGGATACTGCACCATGATAACTTTATTCCTATCTATCTCCATTCCTGTTATCTTTGGGTTGTCTCATCCTCAACACCAAAAATTTTTCTTTTCTTGGTTCAATTATCTTATTTTCTTTTGCTTTGCAAGTTCTAGATCCCTCATCCTGAGTCCAGCTATTATTGCTCCATTACTTCACTTTACTATAGGATAAGAACTCCTCAAAAGAATTATCTACCTTTGCTTTCTCTGATTTTTCCCCTCTCTTTATCTCCTGAGCCATCTCTATTTAGGCTTTTATCCCAACCACTCCCCTCTTATCCAATCATTAATTGCCTCCCTATTGTTAAATCCATCAGTGAATTCTTAGTTCTCTCCTAGATCTACTAATCTATCTGAGTATTTATCTCAATGGATAACTGTCTTTTTGAAACATTTTTCTATATGGCTACCAGTAAACTACTTTCTAATGGATGTCCAATTAATTAAAGGGCCACCTCTTTTCCATTCCCTTTGCTGGTCCCTCTTCGTTGTGGAGCTTAGATCTTAACTTTTTTTTTCTTTCTCCCTATAGTCATCATTCCCTGGATTATCTTGTTATGTGTTATGGCTTTAGATACTATGTTAAGCTAACCACTTCTGGATTTCTGTTTCCAGTATGGACCACTACCTTGAACTCCAGTACTGTATATGGTGGTGTTTTCACTCACATGTCTAATGTATATCTCAAACTTAGCATTATCCTAAACAGATCTTGATTTTCCCCCAAAATTGTTCTGCCAATTTTCCTCATTTCACAAGATGCTTATACCTCCAAGAGCTTCAGTCAACACTCTTAAAGTCATCTTTCACTCCACGTTTCTCTCAAAATAGAAAGTTGAACATGAAAGAACCCCTTTTGCTTTATCTTCAAAATACACCCAGAGTCAGTTCATGTCTCACCAGCCTTCCTCCATATCATCTGTCACCTGATTTATTGAAACAGTCTCCCTAAAGGACTTCCAGCTTTCACCTTTCTCTCTACTGTTTATTTCCAACACAACAGCCAGAGTGATCTTGTTAAAATGTAAATTAGATTACGTTCCTTATCTCAGTCAGTTCAGCTCTGTAACAGTATACCACAGATAGGGTGGCTTATAAACAACAGAACTTTATTTCTCACAGTTGTGGAGGCTTGAAGTCCAAGATCAGAGTTCCAGCATGGTCAGGTTCTGGGGAAGGCCCTCTTCTGGGTTGCAGACTGCAGATTGCTGATGTCTTATATTTTCACATGGCAGAGAGAGAGCAAGAGAACTCTCCACAGTCCCCTTTAAAAGGGTACTAATCCCATTCATGAGAGCTCCAAAGCTTAATTACCTCTCAAAGTCCCCGCTTTTGAATACCATCACCTTGGGGGTTAGGATTTCAACATATGAATTTTAGGGGGACACAAACATTGAGTCCATAACATCGCCCCTTGACTCAATTCCTCCCTGGCTTCTGGTCTACCCCAGGCAAAAGCTGAAAAATGTCCAGCAGGTCACCAAGCCCCAAAGGTCCCAGCTAGCTCTCTGATCTCACCTTCCCCTTTCTTCTCCAGGCTCATTTTGCTCCAACCAAGCTGATATCCTTACTTCCTCCACAGGGCCGTTCCGCCTGCCTCTTGGTCTGCCTATTACAAAATAATTTATTTGATTCCCAAAAATGTGTGCATCTCATTTGTTCCTTTGCTTCACATCTCTGCTCTAATATCACCTTTTTTTGATAGGTCTTCCCTAATCCCTCTTACAAAACAAATGAACAAATAAGAAACTCTACCATTTCCATCCACACTCCTCTCTTACCTAATTTGCTCTGTAGACCTTGCAACCATGTGGCACACTATACAATTTCCTTTTATTTGTTTATCATTCCCCTGTAATATTAGTTCTGTAAGGGCAAGGACAGTGTTTCCTGTGTTTATTGCTCTATTCTCATGATTATAAGGATTGCTGAAATATGGTAAAGAGCCATTAACTATGTGTTGGATGAATGCATAATGGAAAGTTAATGGCTTTTGTTTTTACTTCCATGCCTATCGTATACAGGTCTATACTTATTTACTTTCCTTTTATCTTAGCCTATGTCTTCAAGCACTAATTAGTCATTTGTTCTAGGATTCCCAGTGTCATCACACACATGAAATCTCCCAAGTTGAACCCTTCATCAATGTCTTCCCAAACTGCTTCCCCTGTCCACGGAGCCCATCTCGATTAGTAGCAGACATTTATCTAGGCTTAGAACACGTTTGCTTTGGATCTTTGATTTTCCCCATGACCCTACCCATAAGTCACCAAATTCTGATGCAATTTCTCCTCAGTGGCTGTGGTGCTCACGTGCTTCTTTACACACGCACATCCTCGCCCAGGCCTACAGATGCTTCTGATCTCACCTCCCATGGCCCTCTGCTCCTCCCAAGCTTGGGCAGCAGTTCCAGACCAACCTTCTCTAAACAGTACTTTCATCATCTCATTTTCCTTGTCAAAACTTTCAACAGCGTCCAATTTTCTACATCATCAAGCCTATAGACCTCTCTCCTAGCCCCTGATTTATGTTATTTATTATCTACTCCCAAATACATACCCTCAAGCCGGGAATAGTAACATGATTAAGACATGACTCTTACCCCGAAGGAGCTTGGATTTTCTGTAGCAATTATAGTCCCTTCATCCCAGCACATGTTCATATGTTGTTTTGTGTTGTTCACTCTTATTTCATGGGTAATAGACTTGTTCCATGGCTCAACTGTAAATGCCTTGAAGTTAGAAGCCATGACTTGTATTTTCTTTATTATATTGTACTTCCACTTATATTGCTTTTGGCACTAGTGCTTGCTCAGGAAAGACATGTTTGTCACTTGATGTAATAATAAGATATGAAAGATTTATTAAAATTATGTCGTTGATTGCAGATACTAATAAATATGTGCCTGGTCTTCCTAGTGCAAGCTGATTTTACAATATAGCTTGATACAAAGATTTCTTGTTTTGAAAATTAATTACGTGGATCTCAACTTAGTATTTCTCTGAGAAGTATTTCTCCGATTCCTCAAGTCTGAATTAGAATGCTTCCTTTGATTCGTCTCCCGATAGCAGCTTGGTCTTGCCTCCTTCCAGGCACCATCACACTAAAATTGCCTGTTTCCTTTTCTATCCCCCTTATTCAGCTTTAAGCTATTTGAAGGGAGGGATACACCTTATTCATTGTATTACTATTAGGACTTTGTATAAAGCCGGGCACACTGAAGCTGTCCAACAAATAACAAAATCAATACTTTATTTGGTCTGTAATCCAATTTTGCATAAATTTGGATTACACAGCAAATAAAGTACATACACATAATTATAAAGAGCTGGACTTCATAAAAATAGCATACACAAAGTTTGTTCTGAAGTATTTGATGAAACATGGCAAAAGTTACGCTGAAAATGGGGCTAGGCGAATGTCTGCATTTGTGTGTCTATGTGTCTACATAAACATATATGAACTATATTTAAACAATGCCTTAAGACGTCCCAATTTTTTGCATAAAATATAATTTAAAATTTTTAAAATTCATATTATGGCTATTATTTAAATGTAAGTACTAACTATTATGTAATTTTTATTTGTGTACCTGCCATGCTAATTAGCATAGGCTAACATCAGAGGAATCATTAAAATATTCAAAAATAGTTTTCTTAATTTACCTTCCTAACATTAAGGTTTCTTGTTGATTTACTGGCATATAGTAGGCTGTCTAGACTCTGCAGCCTCAATTCTAAATAAATGAAACTCATTTTGAATATCCCAAATTATAGATAGTTTATTAATAGCTAATAGATTCATATGCTCAATACTCAATTCTAGCCCAGATAATCTTGGAAAGGTGACAGTGGGAAGTACTGCTAAACGGAAGCAAAAACAATAATTTTGTAAGCTCTTTAGGCTGCAATTTCTCTAAATATCTCTGCATATGTGTATACTTCTTTGTTCTCTCCCTCTCTCCTCCCGCCCCTTTTTTCTGTTTCTTTCTCTCATGCACACACACACACACACACACACACACACACACACACACACACAGTGGTTCTATAAACTTTTGGAACTACCAATCAATTTACTTCCTAATCCTGACTTGGATT